CGAAACAATGACACACGTAGGCAATCGTAGGCAAATTAGACAAAATTACTAGCCTACCTCACCACACGTGGTTGTCGAGGGGAACCTCCGAAATTTGGCTGATTTGCTAGTTAAGTTTCGCATTTTCGTCCAAATCCCAGCGAAACCAACCAAGGCACATGTATAACACAAGCATCTTGGGCATGGCTCAGTAGGAAGAGAAACTGGAAACCAAATCACAGGAAACGCTCAAGGAAACGCCAAAAAAAAACAAGAAATGAAGGCTCAAATAAAGGCTCAACTATCTGTAGCGTTCTGTGACGTGTTCTTTCTGTCTGTCAACAAATCCCAGGAGATGCTGACTTCCAAACCCACAGATGTTGGTGAGTTCTGGGATTGTCAATCCGATTTATTGGGCACTCAGTCTTGATAACCATTTTGTCAAGCAATCTGCTGCATTTGATAGCAAACTCACTAAGAAAATGCCCACATGTGCCCAAATGGCTACTGTTGTTGAGCCTTAACAAGGACAAGTCTGGCATATTTCCAGACTTCGTGCGATACTTTGCGATACTCTGGATTGCAACTTACAGTTTTCCAGCAGAATTCATTCAATGACGAGCTGAGATTCCTCCTCCAATTAACTCCCATGAATATCCCATGAAATACCATGAATATCGCGTGAAATGCCATAAATCCCCTTTAGATCCCTATAATTTGGATAACCACGTTCTTCTTTTCAAGAGCCACAGGGAGCTCAGTATACTCGCTCCTGTTTCAATCGCTCAGTTGCCCGGGCCCATACAGTGACAGAGAGGCCACGGGCGGCCGGATGAGCTGCAAGAAGACACACGTGCCATGGATGCCATCCGTAGGATCTTCCTAGACCTAGATGGATACTGTAGATAGATATAGCTAGATAGACGATAGATATAAATAGATAAGTCATGATAACTAGGCTTGACATACCCTTTCTCAACCAGGTTGGATGCTTCGCAATGGGTTTCGTTCACCCCAAAACCCCAAACCATTTTTTGATGCTTCGGAAGCATCCCACCAGGCTGTGTATAACGCGGTTGGGGAAACTGTCTTTGGCTGAGAATGACAGGAACCTTGGGTCAGAATGAGGTATCCCAATTTTGGTTTATACAAAGAACCAAAATCTGCAATCGCAAGGGGTCTTCGTTCTCACAAGAACCCATTTCTTGCTGCCAGTCTTCTCCACAATGGCGATGTTGCTGTCTGTAAGCGCAACAGAAATAGATTGGGAGTAGGGACATACTAAAGATCTGTTCTGAGTTTCAAGTGTGTCCGGAAGCGTTTCACAAACCGGTGTTTTCTTGCTTTTCGCTCGCTGGCATAGCACGTGCCTGCCACCACGCAGCCCAGCTATTGCCGACAGATTTTTTGGTAGAAAAGAAATTCTGAGGAAGCAGCCACTACCACCCAAAGATCCAAACATACATGGTGTTGTCTAGAAATGTCGGCCCAAAAAATTACGCTAGTTAATCATTAGTTTGCCTAGCCATTTCCATACAAGCCCAAATATATATATATATATATATGTAACTATATAATTATATAATTATATAAATATATATATATAACTCTATATATATATATATAACTCTATATATATATATAATGTTTTATATGGTTAATATTCCAACCAGTTGTGGCCATCTTCGCAGGACTGTCATGACATGTTCCAACGGTTGCAACCATGTGCATCGGATCGTGCGCCGTTCCTGCTGCCGGCATCTTCAAGCTGGGCGGGCGGGAGGACATTAGACATTGGACGGCAGAGAAACAGGGTTTCTTAACTTGATTGGAGTAAGGGAGTTTCGGGGTAAACCCTCAATCTTGGGGAAGGATTCACATTGGTAGCGGAGCACTAAGCTCCCGCATAATAGTGCTCAATAATTCTAAGGTTGACAGGGTCAAGGGTCTTTTAGACAATTTTGGGGTCGTACACGAATGGGACAGCACACAAGCGTCAACTGATTGAGCAATGTCTGGGAGTGCGGAAGCAGCCGATCCATCCGCAACTCAGACGCTGCCTCCTACGTCTCTGCCATGGGGTCAGATCCCTCGGTTTGACCCGAGCACGACAGATCTCCGGGTCTACAGCCAGAAGATTCAGCTCCTGCATTCCATATGGCCTGAGGAGCACCTGGTACACTTAGCTCCTCGAGCTGCGTTGCTGATCGAAGGTGCAGCATTCCAGAAAATCACCAGGCTGGAGTCATCGAAACTGAGATCCAAAGATGGAGTGAAGCATCTCATTGAAGCCCTTGGAGGGCAGTGGGGCCGAAGATCGATACGATCTTTTCGAGCGGGCCTTGTACATGGTGACTCAAAAGCAGGACGAGACCAATGATAGTTGCTTGGCTCGTCACGACATCGCCTTCGAGGGCGAAAGCGGTGACGCTTCAAGATGTCCGAGCATACGTCTTGGTGCGACAGTCAGCCTTGACGTCAGATGACAGGAAGAAGATCATCATGGACAATGGTGGCCAACTGACCTATGACACTGCCCGACGCAGCATGAGATTGCTGGGTTCAAAGTTCTTTCAAGATCTTCAAGGTGGCCGCAATCCACAGGTGAAGAAAACGTATGATGCCTATACGATGGACGAAGAAGAGACCATCAACCAGGCAGCTGTGGAATGGGAGACTCCAGAGCTTGATGAAGAACAGGCCTTCCAACTGATGGCTGATCAAGGAGACGAAGACGCCACGTTCATCCTGGACTTTGAGGACCAGATCGTGGAGACGATTCAGGAAAGCCCCAATTTGGCCTCCTGCTTTGTCTCTTATCAAGAAGCCAGGGCACGAGTGCGAGAGCGCGCACGCGCTCGTGGGTTTTGGCCCATCAAGGGGAAGGGCAAAAGCAAGGGAGCCAAGAAGGGCAAAGGAGCATCCATGAGCAGTCAGCAATTTGGTGCTGGCGGTGGCCGACGGCGGTCATTGGCAGACCGCATTGCCAACAGCACCTGCCGCATCTGGAAACGTGAGTGCCCACAAAGGGCTGAAGCCAATTCCAAGTCGGAGATCATCAACATGACTGCGGAGCCCTTTGAGACTGACGAGATTGCAATTCACGAGGTCGTCGACCATCTCCCGGAGAATGTGGAGAAGTGGCAGGAGCACTGGGAACAAACAGGACTCATAGCAGTAAGGGTTCATGAATGTTTGGAAATTTCTACGGGGGCCATGGACTGTTTCGGGTGTGAAGAGGTTTCAAAGTTTGGGGATCCCTCTCAAAACATGGAGTTTTCACACAATCTTCACAACCGACTGGTCTCATGCTGTAGGAAACATGGAATTGATGTGCTGGCCAAATGCACGACCGACTCAGTGCCATCTCCGGCGCCGCCCACTCGTGAGCAAGACCAGAAAGTGGTCATGCTTGACTCACCCAAGGGTGAGGACCCAGCCGAAGTTCCAGGTTGAAGAGGAGAATCATGAAGCTATCATTGACACTGGAGCAAGTAGGGCTGTAATCGGCCATGAACGACTCGGTGATTTGATCAAGGCTTGTCAGCTTAGACAATCTTTTGTTGTCCAGTGGGCGACGTTTTGGCTTGCGACATCGTCACATGTCTGTTGTTGCAAAAACGTCTCGTGTGTATATGGCAATGTTCCCCTGCCCGTAGAATGAAAGGTAAGCACATGTTAGCTTTGCACAATGCTTCCAGCTTAAAAAATAGCTTGCTTGGAGCCTGTGCTCATCTTGCATTGCCAAATAACCAGCCTAGGTACTGAGCCTAGTCTACAATCCTATACTTTTTTCCGGGACACCTGGCCTGAAACTGTGTTCTGTACCTCGAGCTTGTTTGCCCTTCCAAGCATCCAAGCAATGCCAAAAGAGATGTTCATAGATGACTTGCATTTTTCATGGCAGGCGCAGCACTTTAAACTGTTATACGAATAGGATATATCAAGTAGGTATATATATATTTGTTATAGTTATAGTCTATTCTATTTGTGAATATATGCACATGGTATATACTTGGTCTTTATAGGGTCTTGGGTCTATCTGTTCTGGTGGTCACCGAAAATTGTGCACCCAAAAGATGTGGAGTCTCATTGCAGCATTGTGGCATACTGAGGCATACTGGCGTGGGGTTATTTTTTTTTTGATGTGTGCATCACCTTCTTAACTTTTTGGTGCACATAAGACAAATGAGGCCCAAAAATGTTTGGCAAAGACTTGAAACATGTGTTCATCCAGCCTTCTGACACGCCCCGCTTGGAAGCCATTTGGCTTTTGTTTATTCTTCTAAACCATGTTTTTTCTCTCAACCATTATCACAAGTGAGTGCATATCTTTTGCAAGGCAATAATGGAACTACATTTTTCACTATTTGCCACCGCTACGGGTCACTACTATAGGTCACCATGGTTATGTTTCCTCATCAACCCTGCCAGCTCGCAAGCCGATTTTTTCACTGGGCCATGGAAGCTTGAAGATCCAACGTTTGATCCAAAGGCGTCCTGCCAGGTGCGCCCCCCTTTGCCAGGAGGGTGATCGGTGATCACGAGTACTTATTTGAGAGGGGCTTGGTAAACCAAATAATTTTACGGCCAAAAAATGAGTTTACCTTCTATGGGGCTATGCAAAGATCAGTCAACATGAAAAAAAACTTGCTGAGCTTACCGCATGTGTTTTGTTTTTGGAAAGGTGTGCAGTTGCATGTCACATAAATGTTTCCGGCAGTATCTTGCAATGTGTGGAATGCCACCAGAGCCCTTTTGGCCGAAAAAAAGTTCCGGGCAGTTGGGACCCAACCATGAGTTGCGATTTGGAAGTCGCAATGGAGAGCTGGAAGAGCGTTAGCATCTAGGCCCAAAAAAGATACTGTTTAGGCATGTCCTATGAAGCATGTGTTCTCGGAAATCTATGTGTGGGGATCTCTAAGGTTATATATACTATAAAAACAAAATTATCCAGTCTCTTGTTTTTCACCTGCTTAGGACCCGGGAAAGTGAGCTGGGCAGTATCTGACGTGAGATCCATGGCTGTGTCGATCCGAATGGGGCTGCCGCTTTCAGTTGCCCAAATTATTGGGGCTGATACATGGAAAGGGGGGGCGTTGGTTCAGTTGGAAGACACCTTGACACGTCCAGTTGCTCAAGACATCATAGTGAACTATTCCTGGGTCAAACCGTTTGTTCAGCGGTTCAGGAGCAGCGTGCCGTCAGTGTTTTTTGTGACTGACGTATTCTTGTTTCTTGACAAGCTCTACCAGTCCAAACTACTCATTCCCCTAGAGGCTGGGGACTCGAAGCAAAGCGTAGCGGGTTTGGAGGCCAACAAGATAAAACTCTTAATAGGAGCGCTTCGAGCCCTTTGGAGAAGCAGTACTTCGAAATACATAATCAGTTGTTTTTTGTTCTTGTTTTGGGCATGTAGAATGTTGAATATGTTTTCAATTTTCAACCGTTTGTAAACCACACCCATCATTTAAATCTTTCCAAGGTAAGACCGGTGGCCACCCACGCGTCCACGAATTGAAGGGTTACCTGGAAGCTTCGCCTACGCGTTCCAAGGTTTGAGCAGGGGAGGGGTTCTTTGATCCATTGTTTTCTGAGTTGATATCGCGTGTTATTGCCGGTGTTTTGTGGGCCAACATCAGCAGGTCCCTCAACAGTTATGTTCCAAACTCGTTGTTGGTGTATCTATAAGACATGCCAGGGATTAACACCATAGTTTTTTTTGCTGATTACCACCTGTTTCAATTGCTGTCACAGCGCGGAAAGGCTCGACCTCTTGAAGAACTTGCTGAACCTGCTGAACCTGATGAGCAAGATGCAGGGGAAGTTGAAGCAGAAGATGCGGGTGAACATGGAGAAGCGTCTGGGGAAAGTGAAGGGTCTGGGGAAGAGTCTCAGTCTGGGGATGAGCGTGAAAATCATGAGAGTGATGATGGCGAGGTTCCTGAAGGTGAAGTTGATGATCATGCTTCTCAGAATGGGGATGGGAAGGCTAGTGATGGCGTGCTGAGTCAAGCTACCCTTACTCTTGATGATTGCCATGATGCCGTGGATGATGGAAATGAGTATGAGAACACTGGTGATCCACAGTCCCCTGTGCCTAGCCCTACCCCTGGCACCATCTCTGATGTCAGCGACGATGAACCTGAGGGGCCTGAGAGTTGTGAGTTGGTTCGCACTCCGGAGCCGAAAGGTTGGAGGGAGGAACTTTTTACAACACCCCAGTTTGGCAATTCGGGGCCAAGGAGGAGTGAGATTGTGGAAATGGGCCTGGCCCTCATGGAGTTCTTTGGACACCACCACCCACATATCTCAGCGAACTTCAGTTGGTATTGATACTATTTCTTAATTTGCTCACCCTATACTACCCAATTGTTCACCAGTTTGGTACGTGTTGTTTTATTCCTTTCATCTCAACCTAGCCTATCAAGGCATCCCCGCCTGGTGGATTACATGGACCATTGCGAATGGGCCTTTGCGCGCTTTGGGGTGAGGGCATCTACGTGGTTGTCCACACCTGACTATTTTCAGCAATGGGAGGAAAGGTACAAGGAACTTGGTAACAAGGTGCTTGAGATATGGGTGTTGATGTCAAAGAATTTGACTCGTTGCCTTGTTTGGCAAACTTCTTCCAATGTTTGCCAAGTGTTTTTGAACCTGCTTGCCTTTCAACCTGCTTGCCTTTCAACCTGCTTGCAGGTGCTCACCCCAAAAGATTCAGCTGCCTTATCCCGTTCTTGCGAAGATGCAGTTGCTGCTGAAGTTGAGTTCATGGAAGAGCACAAGCGCAATGAAAAGGCATCCAATTTGAATTTCATATTTGTTGAGGGTTTCGTTCTTCATGGGGTTCATCTGCAAAATATAACCCGGGGAAGGGTATGCTGGATAGTTAACTGGAACATATTTTCACAAAACAGTTTAACAGGTTAACCTTGGCTTCAGTTTGGACGGTTTTGGATTCAAATTCAAAGTGAACACAAAGTAAAAGACACTCCTACGCGTGTGCATTTGTTTAAGGCGGCGCTTGGCAGCGATTTGAAGAAGGAGATGATGCGCGTGGCTGATGATGCTGGGAATGAAAGGGCTGGATATGGGGGTTCTACTTGTGGCAAGACTCCTACCCTTGAGACACCTCCGCCTTCCCTGACCAAAGTGGAAAAGGCCTTGGATACCATGATGACTCCGCCCCCAGTTGGCATCCAAACAGTTCCTTGTCAATTGGTTTCTGTGCTTTGTTCTGTTTGATTTGGGTTGACAAATCCATGTTTGATCTCTAGTACTGAACACTTTTCTGGAACAAGCTGGGAAAATATTGGGAGAAAACTGCGCTCCCCATGTGCGATGTGCAAGTCCATGCAAAGAAAAAATGCCTTACAATTTAGAGCGGTAATCTGTCTTTATATGCATGCTGTAGTTTTTGGAATATACGTGATTGATACTCATATCTAACCTTCTTATTCGCTGCGTTCAGATATCTATGGAGGAACATCCATACATACGTGCATGCAACATGTGTGTATACTTGAAAATACACATACAGAGAGAGATAGATAGATAGATAGATAGATAGATAGATAAATAGATAGGTAGATAGATATGTATATATATATATGTGTAAAGATAAACATTTACAAATATATACATAGATACAGTGTATATATATATATTTAAATATATATATATATGTATAGATATAGATATACATACATATACACACATACAAGTATATGTCTAATACTTGGGTTCTGCCCACCTGTCAGGCTAAAGGTCTCAAACGTGCCCGAGCGCCGAAGGGTGCAGTGGATCCACCAGCCAAAAAAGGAAAGAAACCGGAGGGGCCAGCCAAGAGTTCAACGGCAAGTGCCGCTTCAGGGGCGTCTGTTGGACAAGATGGGGTATTCAAAGGGTACAGTCTCAAAGAAATTCCCAAGGAAGCATGGCCCCAACCAGTAAAGAATGGAGGTGCTCATGGCTACACGTTGAGGGCTTCCAACAATGCCGCCCTTCGCTTGTGACTTCATTATTTTTGTTACAACACCAGCACGAGAAATCTTTTATAATCTTCGAAAAGCACAAAGAGAGTCTATTTTGTTGCCATGAATTTGTTGTCAAACCTTTTATGGTTGATTCCCTATATCCATTCGATCAACATCCTGGCATAAACATCCCGTTGTCCTTCGTCACATCTTGGCTTGAGGTAATCGAGTGCCTGCTGAAGAACAAAGCTTTTGTCGCGAAGAAGAAGGGTGAGAATGCCCCGGAGGATCACCCACATGAGTTGGGCCAATACACTTGGTCAAAGTATGGAGGGCCCCATAAAGCATGGAAGAAAGTAAAGGAAGCTGTTTTCTGGCCACGTGCCACGTAGGAGTTTTTGGGACCACTCTGCATATACAGTATGTGCTAGAGTGCGGGGTTCTATTGAAAACACTTCAGGATGAAGTGCAATCTTTGGAGATGCCATCTTATGATACCGCTCGGGATAGGGCCGATGAACACCATAAACAATTTTCATTTCAAACAGAAAAACCACAGAACATAGAACTCATGTTTGCAAAATCAATCTTTGAAAGGTATCAGCTCCATTTGACTTGTTGTTCAGTCGGTACCTGGGTGCGTCGAAGAAAAGTGTCCAAATTTAACTGGAGGGCCAACCCATCAACATCAGTGCAGCGAGGCAAAAGAAATGCCTCCAATCTCCAGTTGGCTGACGCAGCCAAGTCCAGACTTGCAGATTCCAAAGGTGTTGTTCCTTAGATTCCGCCAACCGCAGGTGACTTCGTCTACTGCTACTTGTTCTTGGCCCTGATTCCGACAAGGTGGGGCGATTGTTCAACTTGACCCATTTATCAAGTGACCTAAGTGTTGGCTCTTGAAGCTAGAAAGAACCTAATGGGGTCACTTGTCATTTCGCAAAAAAGCGGCTTGAACTGTTTCAGTTTCATTCTATGGCCCATCTTCAAAGTGGTTGACAGTGAGGCTTCTTTGTGCTGCCACAGATTGTGCCCCCTATATGGTTCGATTGCCTTTTCGGTTTCAGTGCCCCCATTTATCTTAATGGATTCGTTGTTTTTTACCCCATAGAATTAGCCAACTGTGCAATGCATTGATAACACCACACATGGATAATCTTCCCAACCAAACCGTATTTCTCTGCCAGGCTGTGTGCTTCGTCTTTGACCCAGAGGACACCCGGGACATTTGCACAGGCTCCCCAAAAACACATAGAAAGATGTTGGTTTAAAGTTTAAAGTATTGGGAAATTTCGCAATCCCTGCCCCACCCAAATAGCGATAACCGGCAATCTATGCTTAAATCAAACTATGCCAGAAAAGCTGTCCAATGATTTGGTAATCTTAGCTTGGCATTAGTCTTTATTGGTGCCAAAACAACTGCTTGGTACAATTTAATCACCTTCCTTTGCAATGTTTGAACCACGTTTGAGCCCAACTTGTGGCCCCATTGACAGGACAACTTGATGATCATCTTCCCAAACCGGCAGTGGAGGCACTAGGGCACATGGGTATACATGAAACAAAATGGACAAGTTTGGTACCTTCAGGTAAATATCCTGAGATACATCTTGAACCTTTGAACGCATAAGTGCTGAATCAAATCCTATCAAGAACCACTCGGCCCAATGTGCTGGCTCCATTTTGGGACCACTATGTTTCCAAAATGTAACCCAAACATTTAACATTTAACATGCTGGCGTTACCGCACGTTGTGTTAGTGATGTGGTACCTAAGTAATGAGGAGATCTTCCAACCCCACCTTGATATGCAGACTCTGTCGCTTCGCATCACTTCGCCAATGCCGCCAGGTGAGAAAGTGAAGAGCGCCAAAAACCAGAAAGGTGCGCACACGCCCTGCATGGGGCTAGGTCTTGCAGTGGGAATGTCATGCGCTTGTTTTTTTCATTAGGCCACTAATGGTTGACACACACACACACAAAGATGTCATTCAAAATGGAATGCACCGTAAATGCCACAATGTCCTCACCAAAAAAAATGATCCCACATCATATCTCCACAGGGGATTTTGGCTCGGTTGAGTGAAGGATTTTCCCGGAGATCGATCCCAGGATCTTAGAGTTGAAACAATGGGGAAAGGCATTCCTTCAAAGGCCCGAAAAGCTTCCGAAACCATGCCCTACAGTTTCAAGGGTGGCGAGAAATCCAAGCCGACTACTTGGAAGCAAAAGCAGCGAGTCTTCACCATGTCCGGCCTCAGACATCTCAGAGCACCATCGGTCCGGTTGATCAAATCCTCAGTTTCAATTGGCGCCCAAATGTTCTACCCGGGTTGCATGGTAGTGAGACAAGATTTAAGTCAACTAAACTCCACATGTTTAATTGGGAACCTCATGTGTCTTCAAAATCTTGGGAAACATATCCCTTCATATTTCGAAAATGGGTTTTCCAAGGTTTGAATCAAAATTGTACCCTTGACCCTGTAAGGTGATTCTGGCATTGGTGGCCATGATGTTCAGCAACAACAGCCTCAACTTCAATTCCCCCATTGATCATTTAGAACTGTTCGCAGGGGAATGCTCCATCAGCAAGGGAGAATGGAAGGATGCGCTGGGTCAAACAAAAGGGGTCCAAAGACAGTAGAGTAGGTTCGGCTCAACTATTTTGAAAAGGCATCAGCCACATGTTGTGACATGTCTGCACGGTTTACTTGGAGGTGCATACCAATTTCCAAAAGGGGTCCAACAATACTAACCCCACTTATTTTTGGAATACCAACAGTCTCAATATGGGAATGTCTCAAAATAGGAGTGCCCCAAGCTCACTTTTTTTAGTTAAAATGAAGGGCTTGGGGCACTCAGCTATGGCACCCCTATTCTGAGACATTCCCATATTAGTTTTAAAGCTGCCTGCTAACATCGTGCCCCAGGAGAAGCGCAATGGGGTCCCCATGGATTTACGGTTTGGGGAGGACCAAGACATCATGACTGATGTGGGATTTTCCAACATGCTGTACCAGACCTTGAACCTCCGACCTGGCGGAGCTTTGTGGGCTGCTCCTGTGTGTTCATCTTGGATCTATCTGCACATTGGGTTCAAATCAGAAAATTTTACGTCGGTCAAAAAGGGTGACCCTTAGAAGTTTAAAAAACCCTTGAATGGAAACGAAAAATCTTTAAGTGTGAAGTTATATTTGCCCAACCCTCAACCAAACAGCTTAGGTCAAGAGGATCAACATTTCGTTCGAGCAGCAATCCCATGGGTTCCAATCAAGGGACTTGCGGCCTGCATAACATCATGGTGGCTAGACTGATAATCCTGCTGGTCATATGTATGGCCAAAAAGGTGTGGTGGTGTTTGGAGCAGCCACGTGGATCGTTACTCGAAGGCCATGTGTTGTTCCAAAGGATGCTCCAGTTGCCACTCGTGGTGGTGGAAAGGGTGACATGCTGCTTGGGGCATTTTGGAGGCGATTCCATGAAGCCGATCTGGGTTTACAGCAGTAACTTCTCTCAAGTTAACATGCATCTTGTGATTTCAAACATTAGGACATATTAGGACTCTTTTCATTGCTGTTTGGGATACCACATGTCTGAAAAGGTCTTAGAAAACATGTCTAGTGAAGAATGCAATATGCCCACAGGGACTAAACCTTAAGTCTGGGAACCAAATGGGCAATATGTTTTGCATGGTCATCTCGAGCTCAGGTGAACCGGAAGCTGTTGAGTTCAACGACTATGCTGATCGATCCCTGCATCCATCTAATCCCAATATGGTTCGTCGTTATACTGATGGACAAGGGCAACAGAGGATAACTGGTGGGAAAGCACTCCGTGCATCACAGGCATACCCTCGAAGGTTCTTGGGTTTGGTTTAACTCTCGGGTTGGAATCAATTTTCCACCATGGTCATGTCGCTATATTGATGGACAAAGGCAATAGAAGATAACTGTTGGGAAAGCATTCCATGAATCACAAACCCAATACCTTTCAAGACTTGGTCACACCGCGGGGCTGTATTCAATTTGCAGCCCAGGTTCGGACGAGCCGTAGCCAGGGTCAGAACAATCCATTTGAAGAGACACCAGCGTGATGCTTACCAATTCCTTCGGTTTGCAATGGCTGGGGACGGGTCGGCAAACATGGACCCTAATGAAAGTCGCTTTTGGGTTGAGCAAGCCAACCTTCAGAGAATCTTTGATTTTCTTTCAAAGCAATGAAATTGCACCTTACATGGCTTCTCAAATATCCTTTCTGGTGTGGAATAGCCACACCAAATTCAAAGTAAGTCAAGACTAGCAACGCTCTGGGGGATGAAAATGAAAATCCATGAATGGTGCTTTCGATGTGTGGGAAACACCAAACTCAATGTTCGTCAAGACCCAAGACTAATGCCTCCCCGGGGAATTTTAAAAGCATGGAATATAACATAGTTAGTTTCGCTGGTGATCAAAATAAAATTTTCTTGTACCCTCTTCGATTAACCCCCCCTTGCTGCTTTGCTCAATTGATTTTTAAGCCAACGCAGGTCAGCCCATGGGAAAGCTGGTGTTCAAAAGGCTTGCAAGCAAACAAGGCTCGGATTGGTGATTGGGTGTATCCAAGTGGAACTCCTGATCAACTTGACCTGGGGAGTTGCTGGTGGCACCACGGTTTTGTCAAAAATCAGTCGCAATAGGGTCAATTTCACTAGTGCGACCTGTAGCGACATTCATGCGATTTGTAGCGACCTTTTGCGATCTGTATCATGGTTCCAAAATCTTACCAAAAACAACTAAGTTCAGCTGATGTAGGAGACACACACACACATGCTTTCAAGTGCATCAACTGCAACATCTGGTTTACAGGGATCCCTGGTGCTGGCTACCCACTGGGTGGTTTTTGACATGGCTTTGAAAAAGCCGGGAAAGGCACCAAATGCTGGCTTGCCCCAGGTGCGCAAGTCAGCCCTAAAAGTTCCTTCAGTCCGAAAGGATGCTCCTACTTCAAAGCAAGCATCTACTGAGCAGCCCGCTGGGAAGCTCAAAGCTGAGGTCTTAAAGAGAGCCACGGCTGCCAATGCTACCGCTGGCACATCCCAGAAGGAGAGTCAGCCCAAGGTGGGAAAAAAGACGAAACCAGAGGAGAGAACTGGGAAGAAGACGAAGCCAAAGGAGAGAACTGAGAAGAAGACAAAGTCAGAGGAGAGAGGAGCGAAGAAGACGAAGCCAGAGGAGAGAACTGAGAAGAAGGTGACGCCAGAGGGCAGAACTGAGAAGAAGAAACCAGAGGAGAGAAATGAGACTGACAGGAAGAAGGCGCAGGCAGATGATCAGAAGAAACTGCCTCCTGGGCAAACACAGACAGCAGATGGCAACAAGAAAGAAGGGAAGAAGGAAGCAGACCCGAAGAAAGCACCGCAGAAAGGCAAAGAGAAGGTTGAGGAGAAAAAACCGGCAAGGAAGGCAGGAGTAGTGGAGGCAGAGTGCGCCCCTGGAACCAGCAGCAGCAGCTTCAGCAAGAAGCCTCGGGTTGAAAAGCATGAGGGAAGAAAGGCAGAGCAAACCGAAAAGCTCAAGACTCTGGCAGCTCAGTTGGAAAAATCCAGCAAGCCAACGGTCAAGGCGCCAACCACTCCACCAGCAAAGCGCTTTAGAATGAAGTTGCCAGCCAACTCAGTCACCACTGATGCCAGCAGCGCCCGCTACAAGACTTCCAGCAACAAGGAGAAAGCCGAAGCAGCCATGGCCAAAAAACTAAAAGGCTCACTAGAGCAATGCGTGAAGGAAGCAGAAGCACGTGCAGAAGAGGATGGCCAACAGATGCTGATGCTGTTGGACGAGATTTGTGGTGAAGCTGACAAGGAGAACACGGCACCTGCATGCAATGAGGAGGAGGCGAGCATGGATGAAGCAGCAAGTGACCCCCCCGACAGTGACGACGAAGATCAAGAGGAAGAGGAGAATCAAAAGAAGCAGGAGGCAGGGCAGGGGGAAGCCGATTTAGAGGAGCAGGAAGAAGAAGAAGAAGAGGAGGCAGATACAGAAGCAGAAGAAGAAGAAGAACAAGAAGAAGCAGAAGAGCAGGTGGATGGAGAAGGCGACAAGTCAGAGACGGGAGGTGACGAAAGCCAGGAGGAGGAGGAATCGGAGGAGGAATCAGAGGAGGATGACAAGGAGTCGGACAAGGACACGGGTGCCAATGACACAGAGATGACAGGAGATCAGAAAGAAGGGAAGGAGAAAGGAACAGAGCTAGTTGAGGCGGTCAAGAACACCCAGCGCAACAGCAGCTTTGCTGAGCATGTATCAGCCCCACAATTCATTGGGAGACCAAGCTTTCAATACCCAAGTATTTCTTGTACTTACAACCAAGTCCCATGATGTTTTGGGAAACGTGGTTTCAAATTCACAAGTGTCCTGACATCTCTACCTAAAACAGGTGACTGTGGAGGTTGTGGTTTCAACACGTGCACATGTTTATACTTTTACATATGTACATATGTACTTACACACACATATGTGCGTGTCTATATATATATATGTATACATATATATAAATACATACATATATATATATAGCATATGCATATATGTATATAAATATAATTGTGTATATGTAAATATGTTATATGTAAAGATACATATACATAAATATATATATATATACACACATACATATACATATATATATATACACATACATAGAAATACACATATCCATCCCTTCTGTCTGCCCCCAGGTAAAACCAATAAGAAAGAGTGGGACCGCTTCGACCGCCAGATCAAGGCAGGCGGCTTCCCACAGGAACTCCAGGCGATGCTGAAGCGCAAAAAGACAGACCTGTTCGGGCTTTGGATCGATTTCAATGAAGACTGGGACCGTGTGGGGGCCGAAGTTGAAAGAACCAGAGAAACGTCCAATTTGTCCCGAAAGGAATGGGAAGCAGTTCAGGCAAAAACGTTAAAGTCACAGATGTCCCAAGAAAAGTTCGATGACCTGGTGAAGAAACGAAAGGAGTCTGGATTGTATTACCAGGATGATGATTATCCCAATGATGAGCTGGACAGGGGTTCTTCAAAAAACGATTGTTTTCGATCATGTCTGTGTTTCAAGTAGGTTTCCATGTATTCTTTCCTCCCCCATACCTCTCACCGATTCAACCTGTGGCCTCCAAGAAACGTGGTACTACATGCCCAAGGGGCGGCTTTTGAGGCAGGATGACAAGACTGCGGACTCACTGAAAGTCAAGGGTACCAAAAAACTTGATGACCAGATGTTTCGGGCTCTCACCGGGGAAGAAGGTCCTCTCCCCTGTGGGGCCTTGCCTGCAGTCAGAGCGCAATCAGAAGCCGGCCAGAAAGCCATTCTGAAAGCCTTGGATGATGAAGGGAAAGAGGTGGTCAAGCAAAAGAAGCCCCCCAAAAAGGCAACAGGTGATGCCGAACCAGTGGTTCCAAAGACCGTGCTTGAGTCAAGGGCTCAATGCATTCAGATTCCACATCTCAGGGCACTTGAGTTGTTTCGTTTGTATTCCAAAAAGTGCCATCGCTGACTACCAGCGCAACCTTTTTAACCCAATGCTCAAAGAACAATCGATTCTTCAACATTTCAATCCTTTTGTGCACAGATCACAGAACTGTTGATTACCATCCTGATTACATTTCTTGGTGAAAGCAAACGTGTGTGATAAAGCCTGTTGGCCTATTGCCCATAGCAGTTACAATCAAAAACGAGTTACACATGTGTTCAATGAAAGTGCTCTCCAAGTTTCCAAGTTTCCATTGTTCCAAGCTTCTCCAAAGACGTCCAACATCCAAATCTCATCCAGCAGTTGCCAGCCAGCGCGGCGCCCAGGGAAGCGAAGGTCAAGCTGGTGCAAGTCCTTGATGAGTCGACAAAAGCGAGATCCAAGTACATCCAGTTGCAAGGGACAGAGTTTGCTGACCAACTTGCCCATGAACTAAAGAGGCATGCTGATGCTATGGAACAACTCTACGCAGTTCTGAAGGCAGAGGTCAACAAAACCAAACCTTCTGATTCGTTACTCACCGACGTTCTCAGCAGGATTCAGAAGAAACAGGATTGGTATGCCAAAGCGGAGGTCAGGTTTGCCAAAAAACAATATACATGTTCAAGATGTTAAAGCAGAATTGGAAATGTATTGGTTTTACCTGTCAATCATTTCCCAATATTTTCAAACATTTAATGGACATTTAAGGGTGTTGCTTGTCAATCGTTTCCCAACTTTCTCAAACACTTGGGAACACCCCTTCAGGCATCTGCGTCTGGCATGTTGAAAGGAACTGCCCCGCGAAAGATTGGAAAGGGCAAGGCCAAAGCCAAAGCTAGCCCGAAATCCGCCTAGATCTTTCTGATGTCTTGAAGCCAAAAGGCTTAGTTTTCTTGTGGGTGACTGCTCCATGTTTGAAATAGCATGGATTGCGCGGGTAAGATTTGCAACAATATGGAAGGTTGCAGGAGCATAGCTCTGGTGTGGGAAAAAAACGTGATGGCGTCTGGATCGTGCTCAAAGCCATGTTGTGTAGTATAGACAAATTTGCATCAATGGTGCGTGGAAACTTTTAGGGACATTCTTTTTGATGGTATCAATGCCTGTGAAACTGGCTGAATCAAAGCCCCAAGTATCCCATTTCATTGCATGTATAGATTTGGTTACAGCCCCGGCTTGCCAGGTGGAAGTGCAAATGCCAAAAGGCGCAAACAGGAGCCTGTTACTTCAGGGGAAAGCCTAGTCCTGGACAAACTCCTAGAGTTGGTTGGCCGAGGGGATTCTCATGTGCAAACAGTTGCTGAGATAGCCAGAGCAGTTCGAAGTGACTATTCACAAAGTGTTCACCCGAAAATCCAAGAACTTGCAGCTTGTGGTGCTTCTGGGAAATTTGATGCCAACACTGAACGTGATTTCCAACGGCTTCTTCGGGGATCCAATGGTTTTCATTTGGAGCCTTACACTATCAACCTCACACTGCAGGTATCTCTGACAAAAGACAAGTAATATCTTAATTTTGACATCAGAAAGTTTTTTGGGATAGCTTGATTCCCCTCCACAGGTCTGTCATTCCCCTGGCCGAGATTCTCCAATGGCAGCCGCCCAGGTAGAAAAGGATGAAGATCCTTTGGCAGTCGAAGCAAGCGTATTGCTCCCACACGAGGTTTTTGGAGCTCTGCATGACATGGGGTCTGCCAAGGTGTGGGTTTCCGAAATTCCAAGAAAAGATCGTATCTACCAATTTACAAAAGAATCACAAAGCTGTATGATTTTTGTATGATGTGTCAACCACAGTTTAGTTTGTTCGGATTCTCGACCACAACTATTTGATTCAAAGTTAAACCCAAACAAGTTTTCTGATTAAATGTTTGGACCACTACATTTTTCGACCCTGGCAGTTTCGATCTATGATGTGTGGGGACCACACCCCTGAATCCATATTGAAGTTCTGGAGCCACTTGAAAACCCTTCCGGCCTACAAGTATCACGATGTGCTGCATTCTTTGACCGACTGTGAGCTCAAAAAAACAGTTCCTTTTGCCATTCACGGTGATGGGGCTGAATTTCATAGACACAGTGAATACTTCGTCATGAGTTGGACTTCAGCCTTTATCACTGGTGGGGGTGAGAACTGCTTGGTGAGCCGTTACCCTATCTCTCTGGTAGCAGAAGCCCAAATGGCCGATGATAGGGATCCCTGGCTTAGATTTATGCACAAGAGAACAAACAATCAAAACCCACAACTTATTAGTGGTATTTTGAGATTGGTGTTCAACCTTGCAAGCAGTGTAGTGGACCTCAAAACTGGTCTTCTGTGGTGGGATTCCCTTGTTGTCAAAGATCGGAAAAAACACTGCAAAATACGGGTTTCCTTTTTCCCATTTAACCCCACAAGAAAGTGAGGTTCGAGAAGGGGTGAACAAAACTTTGGCTGAATTGGTGGCCTGGTCCCTCCGATGTGCTGCTGAAGGGCGGTACCCTGACCGTGGGTTCTATGGTGAAGAGTTTCCAAAAAACACTTACAGGTCTAGCAGGTGTGGAAAGCCCATTGCAGATGGGCACAAGCTCCTGGCAAAGAGGCAGTTTCCTTTTCTCTTCAATTTTATTTTCGTACTTTCTGTAGTATGCTTCTTCCCAATCAATTTTGATCCTCTCCAAGCCTGCATGCTTCAGGCTCCTTTACATGACTTTCAAAAGCGACCTCAAAGCCCGAATGCAGTGCCACCTGATGAAGAACTACTACAGGTGCAAGAAATGTTGCGACAGGTGTGCTGCTGTGCAACCCTGGGATTCAAGGCCTCATGATTTGAGTTACAAAAATACTTCCCGGACCGCCCCTTATGCGGCAACAGTCATAGACCACGACCAGTACCTCCGAACTACATCAACACCTTCACCATGGTGTAAAATTCAAGGGTTTCAACACGAAACAGTCTCTTTCGATATGATGCATTTGGTTTACTTGGGAGTTGCAAAGAACCATGTTCCGTCGTGTTTGAAGCTTTTGAGACGCTCGGGGTTTCACTATGAAGCTGGGGAGTCGGAGGACAAGTTTCTGAAGAGAGTTAGCTTGGAAATGCGACAGGATTGCAAACAACACAAGTACCTCATTCTACAAGATTGGATCAGATTTTTTCTTGCGACCTTTTGTACAGGAGATGTCAAGTGAGTAGATTTGCTAATTATATTTTGAGACTTCGATTTTCATCACAAATCAGGATCTACTTGCCTCGCAGATGCCTCACCCCTACAAATTGCAACTGGGAAGATGATTACGTGGAACTGGGTTCCAGATTCAAAGCAGCCCACATCCGAACCATGGTGTGGTGGATTGCAAAAAAGTTGGACGAACTCACCAGAAATTCCGACCCTCAACACGCAGTTTTTGGGTTTTAGAATTTTTCCGTCATGGGTTGCCTATTGGTGCATTAGCCACCCCTGCCAACGACAGTGTCCCCGACACGCTTGCCAAGCATCTGAGGAAGATCCGTTGCTGCAACTTCTGGCCGCATGTGCCCACTCCTTGGCGAGGGCGCAGGACTTGATGGATGAGTCAGGGCTGGTTCTTTCCCCAGAGGATGCTGCCGCGACATGGCATCATACCCGAAGTTTTAGCTGGTATAGGCGGCTATATGAATTTTATGTTTACACAAAATTGTGTATGCATTTAAATTCACTATATATATATATATATGAATGTATATATATATATTCATCAATATATATATATAAATAAAAATAAATAAATATATATATATATATCAATATATATATAGTTAAATATATATATACATTTATTTATCTGTTTATTTATTTATATATACATACATGTGTGTGTGTGCAACATTATACAGCCATTTCCGCACCCCCTTATGAAGAACAGTCAATTTCAAAAACATGGTTTTACCACAAGAGAACAGTTCTTCCAGTTCTTCTTCATTTGGGTTTACAACTTCAATTTATCTACTGTATCAGTTTTGATTTTGAAATCAAGCCCAGCAGGCCAAAGGTGGTTTGCCTATCGGCTATATTACCAGCCCAGGAAATTTCAAGGATGCTACACCTTCATCTTCGCAGCACTGAATTTTTGGCGGCACACTGCTGGCAGCATGGAGTAATGGCTTTCAAGATGAGACCAAAACACCATTACATATGGCATGTTGCGATGGACGTTGCAAAGACTAGACTCAATCCTAGGCTGCACCATGTTTGGAGCGATGAAAAGTTTTTAGGTTGTATAAAAAAGGTTGCCTGCCGTTGTCATGGGGCAACTGTGCAAAAACGAGCAATCGAAAGATATTTGATTGCGCTCTCCACTTTCTTGGCCAAAAAGGCTTAGCGACTGGTGCCAATGAAGTTTTGAAATCACCCTCAAAAATTATAGAGTCACACACATAAGCTCTTTGTAACCCAAAGCAAACGTTGTCAAAATGGCACCCAAGGGTCTGAAAGGCTGCAGGGGAATTGCAGCTTCGCAGCGGCAGAGTCCGGAGGCCAGAAAAAAGCCAGGCACCATATGGCAACACCGCCGGAGGCTTTGCGATGGATCTGGTTGATATCTGAAAGTAACAAATTCTTGGGGTCACCAAGTTTTTGAGTTCGGTGTCCATCATGTGAAGAAACCACAAATTTGGAGGGGCAAACAATTGACCGGTATTGGGCCAAACAAAAAATTCAATATCCTACTATGCAAATTCCGGGTTGGGTTTGGATCAATGACATTGGGTTTGGCAAACAACATTGGCCGCACGGCCCCTAAGCCCATACCGACAGTTGCAGCCGAGTTGATTCAGCGAAAATGACCACGTCAAGGGATCAGTTTTGTTTCCTCTAAAATCCTAAGGTAGGGGTACTTCCAATGAATTTACTTGGTAGATTCAATGGGAGACCAAAAATTTTGGGATTCTTCAAACACAATACAAACACCAAAATACGTTCATTTCTGCTTTGCTGAATCTATATCTTCGAAAAAGGGTACCGCCAAATTCGGATGATTCCTCAAGTTCCCACCATTAACACCCATAGGTTGGAATCTTTGTACCTACAAGTTTTTCCTATTCCACAAAAACAGGTGGATCAGCACTGTATTTTCCTTGCTATCAAGATTTTGGAGACAAACCCATATTGCTTCAAATCTGTCTTGGTTTTATGGTTGCAAGAAAATAATAGGGGCTATTGGGAAATCAGTTGGTTGGGCCTCCAATGAAAAAACATATTGATATTTGTTTAAAACATACACACACACATATACTGCATATATAATATATATATATAAGAGGTGTGTGTGTGTGCGCGTGTGTGCGTCTGTGTGTTTTCCATAGGCACTATTGTAGGTCTATGGTGTCTAGACTTCTTCTTGGCATGGACAGCGTCGTCTGCGTCTAGAATTTGCCCTTGGCATTGACTGTCACTTTGTGTCTAGACTTTGTCGCTGGCATTGACATTGTCATCCATGGATTGTGTCTATGTGCAGGCCCTGTGTTGCATCAACTGCTGTTGCGGCTCTGATAAACTCGACTGTCGGCGGCGCCGTGATAAACCCTAAATGTCGGCGGTGTCGTGATAAACCCTAAATGTCGGCGGTGCCGTGATAAACCCTAAATGTCGGCGGTGTCGTTATAAACCCTAAATGTCGGCGGTGTCGTGCCCTAAATGTCGGCGGTGTCGTTAGAAACCCTAAATGGTGCAGATTGGAGGTGATTATGTCGCACTCTTGTGTTGCATCATGTGTGGCTGCTTTGCGGCTATGAAATCCTAAGTGTCGGCGGTGTCGACCCTATAAATGTCGGCGGTGTCGTGATAAACCCTAAATGTCGGCGGTGTCGTGATACACCCTAAATGTCGGCGGTGTCGTTAGAAACCCTAAATGGTGCAGATTGGAGGTGATTATGTCGCACTCTTGTGTTGCATCATGTGTGGCTGCTTTGCGGCTATGAAATCCTAAGTGTCGGCGGTGTCGACCCTATAAATGTCGGCGGTGTCGTGATAAACCCTAAATGTCGGCGGTGTCGTGATACACCCTAAATGTCGGCGGTGTCGTTAGAAACCCTAAATGGTGCAGATTGGAGGTGATTATGTCGCACTCTTGTGTTGCATCATGTGTGGCTGCTTTGCGGCTATGAAATCCTAAGTGTCGGCGGTGTCGACCCTATGTCGGCGGTGTCGTGATAAACCCTAAATGTCGGCGGTGTCGTTAGATGTCGCACTCTTGTGTTGCATCATACGAACCTATATACAACTACTCACGACATCGTCGGATACCCACGACAACGGCTTATGCCTTATGTTGGAAATGTTGTCCTTTGTGCAACGTTGGATTGTCTAAGAGGTTCAGGACAAGGTGTCACTTTTCGCTTCGGAAACTCCGGAACACTCAAAAGCACCTTTGCTGTCTTTTTTCAAAGGAAAACAGGTGGTTGGATAAGAGTGGAAGTATGTGGAAGTCGTGCCAGGTCGAACCCCGTTCTTGTTGTCCAATTCAGTGTTGAAATCATTGAGAGCCGGTGTTGATGTTGAGGAGTGTCAGGATTTGGTTTAAGGGTCATAATGAAAGCATTCCTCTGGGGACATGTCGCAAAAATCTCATGAGTGTGGATTTCTCAAGAATTCTGAATCTTGCAGGAAATGATACGGAACCATCCATGATTCATGATATTCATGTCACACACATGGCCATGGGACAGAGTAGAATCGAGGAAGTGAGTTGCGAGAATCAGGGGGCCCGAAAACCCCAAGATCACCCTCCAAAATTTACACGACAGTAATGGGGAAGAAACCAGAGTTCACAACAGTAATCTTGAACATGTCCAAATTTCAGAAAAGATGTCCAAATAACATGTACAGGAAAGGTTGGCTTCATCCTCAAATTGTCACGTGAAACATGTGATAACTGTGATAACCATGATGATGATGCCACTCGCCCTCAAGCCCACCGCAATTTTGCGTGGAAACAAATTGAGCGAAACAGCCATGAGCAGCAAGGGATATCTCGATGTTCCCTTGACGATCGAGGTGGACCCGAATCTTCGGGGAGCCCATCAATATCCGGATACCATTCAGGAGGACATCCAGTGTCCACCGGGGATTTCAACCCTCAGACAGTGGGGTCAGACAAAGATCCCGTCGCGAAAGCATGCCGGCAAGAGTTTCGAAGAAGCTCACGCAGACCTGGGGTATGTTCATCAGATCTGGAACAGGCGTGCAGTCTCAGCCTGGCTCCGAAGTTTCCAGATGTATTGCCGGATGAGACAGCATGCAGACCCAGGTCCAACATCCACGACAGCGGAGATCACTCAGAAGCCGATGCCGATCAACTCAGAGAAGCCAGCCGCAGCTGCGATGGCAGCACCGAAGTCAGAGATCAAGACAACCGAACCGAAGGTGAGTCTACAGGTGACATGTCAGGAGTGGACGCATGTCGAGAAGGGCAAGACCATCCATCAGTGCCGAGCCCAACCGGAAACTGAAGCGTGGCAGCCAGTTCAGCTCCGGTGATGGAGACCGAGATCAATCAGCAACGAGTTCAACAAGTGAGGACTCAAATCGCAATTCTGGAACGAGAGGTGGCAATCGAGACTCAGGTGTCCCAGATCGATATCGAGGAGAACGAGAACTGATTGAAAAGGCAGCCAGGTACATCATGAACGACCAACCTCCTATCGGATTGACCAATGACCAGGAACAACAAATTCACGATGCCATCAAACAAAAGATTCTCGAGGTAGAGGGCGGGTTGTCTGACCTCCAAAAGAGTTTTGATGGCTTAGAGGGAAATAACTGGGCATTGGTCAATGATTTCTCACGGAAATCACAGCAAAGTCGGCCTCTGGACCTCTTGGAAGTTTATCGCGGTCCCCAATCCCAACTTACCCAAAATATATTAAGGTATGGGGGCAGGGCCAAGCGTTTTTCGAGAAGATGGGGACCTAGGCACGGAAGAGTCCAGGTGGATCTATCTATACGAACCCCGGCGCATTTGGTTGGCACCAGAGTGCAAATTGTATGGGAAATGTTCCAACTTGAATATGTCACGCAGCTTGGAAGACTTTGACCGGATTGTTCATGAACGACGGTTGAATAGGGGCCACCTTAGCCTATGCAATGACATTTTTCTTCATCAAGTTTCTCTGACAAGACATGCGCACCGGGAACAGCCAAATGAATCATGTATGACAAGTCAACCAGAATTGTACAATATGGTGTCAGGGACATTTCTATCATGTTTAGACATGTATCGCCTCGGTCGTTTGAAGCTTCCCCAACAAAAGAAATATCTCCGGACAAGAACCAATTTCCAGACATCTTGTGGTTATGTTCACCATCACTTGCATGACAAGCGATGTTTGAATGACCGTGAACATGAGACCATTCAGGGGAGTATCAAAACTCATGGGAGAAGAACGAATGTTTCAGCATATGCAGTAGCATGTTCACCAGCATTTGGGGCATACATGGCACGTGTCATACTGGAGGAATGTGAGATTAAGGAACCACCCATTGACATTTTTGTTGCAACTGGGGAACAGGACGGACCTGAACCGGCACCAGCGGACGAGCCAAGTCCAAAGCGACAGGGGCACGGAATTAAAGGGCCACCACGACCTGCAGACCTTGAATATGATGCCCGGGGTTATGGCAAAAGTCCTACATGGACTCAGGTCATCAGGCGTTGCAATGTTGCGGTTCCACGGATAGGGAACTTCAATGTCCGACCTGGGGATCCAATGTTCCCTCTCTTTCAGTTGATGGTTCCTGAGCTAGAGCTTAAACTTGCGATTCTGTGCCGTGGCACGGAACGATTTCGTGTTCCCGGGAACCTTGCCCAAGGGGAAGAGATGCCGTGGAGGAAGACAGTTCTGGTAGACAGGGAAACTGGAGAGATTGTAGGTAGGGGCCCCCCTGAAAATTGGAAAGTGTTGCCAAGTCTGAATGAAACAGACCCGAAGGGCAGGGTCAGCCCGAATGTCCATTACCAGCTTTGGGGTCCTGAAACCGACGGGCGGAAAATCTGGTGTTTGTGAACCTTCAAACCTCGAACGCATGGGGAGTGAGAGTAGTAGTGGATGTGGGGTCCCTCAAGGAGTATTGGGTTGTGATTTAGGCCTTGGGGAAGGGGGCTCACAAGTTGGGTCAACCCCGGAGTTTCAGCAAATATGGGGTATCAGGGGCGGCCACCAAAGGTAACCCTTCAAAGTGGTCCCGCATTTGGGTCATTGGAAAACCATCAGAAAGCTGATCTCCGGAGGTTGCATGCTAACCTAGGACATCCATCCCCTGAAAAACTCAGTCGGGCACTTCAGGACCAAGGAGCATCTGTAGAGGTCGTGAAAGCAGCACAATATTATCAGTGT